GAGGGCGGGGTTCTGTCCCTGGGGGCGGGATTTGGGGGCGCGGGGGCTGCTCCCCAGTCTCCGAGTCTGGCCACTCCTCCCTCCGCGCGCGTTCTCAGGTGCCTCCCCGCTCACCGGTTATTGTATGTTCTGACGTCTAATCCGGGGCTCCTTCCCCTTTGCTTGAGGACTGAGTTTGTTGAAAGTGGGATCGTCGCTCCCTGCTGGGGGCCTTTGGCCTGCGGGTGAGGGCTGCGCCTTGGCTGCGGCCCAGGCGCTCGGCGCTGCGGGATTGTAGTTTCCCTCCGCCGAGGCCCCGCCAGCCCGCGTCCCGCCCAGGCGGCTGTGGACCCGCCGGGCCCAGACTGGAGTGTACGCGGGACCCTCTCACCCTTCACGCCCCGCCCCGCACGCAGACCCTCCCCCGCGCCAGCCCTGGCCTTGAACAGCGACGCGTCAGGCGCTGGGGGCCGCGGCGGAGCCAGACCCTCCAAGGCTCGTTCCCCAGGCCACCTCTGCCTTCAGCCCCCACCGCGGCCGGAGCTGCCGTACAGACGGGAATGGCCCTTAAGAGGGTCTGGCTAGAAATTAAAAAGCTGCGGCCAAGGAGAGCAGAGGAGTCGCAGCCCCAGGGCCGCCGGAGAGCACTTGCCCTTGGAAGCAGAGCCAGCGCGGTGGCCCTTCCCAGCCTGGGGCCCTCTTCTCTACCCTCTTCTCTGGACACCTTCGGGGACCACCGGCGGAAGTTCCCTGCACCTGGGACACCTGGGGGTGCAGAGGGGTTTTCTGGTTCGAGCCCCATTCCTTGAGATGGGCCCTGAGCCAGGGCCGCTGGGACTCCCCTGGTGCAGGATTGAGGGTGGCTCCATCCCGCAGGTGCCTCAGGGTCCCCCAGCAGGTGAGGCCGTGTCACCCGCCAAAATCATGGGCACCCAGGGACTGGGTGCTGTGGGCCTTGCAAGGCTGGGAAAGGCCCAGTGGCTGGGGAGGCGGGGTGAGGGCCCACCAAGGAATCCCAGAAGAGAGAGGGCAGGATCCAACAGTTTTCTTCCGAAATCCCACTTCAGACAAAACTTTCTAAGACTCCAAAACTGGGTCTGGCTCCAGTGGCAGACACAGGGGGACAGAAGAGGCTGGGACTCGGAGGGGCGGGGTAGGGGGTGAAGTCACTGCCTCCTTCACCAGCGCTGGGCTCCGCGGGTGCCCACTGCGCCTGGTGTGTGCGCAGAGGTGACTTTAGTAGAAGCAAAAAAATGACACCCCCACCCCCCATCAAGCTCTCCCAGGACGACCAGCGGCCAGCAGGGAGAGATGAGGGCCTCCAAGGAAGGTGGAACTGGATCCAGCCAGGCTCCCAGCCCTCCCCGGAGTGTGTCCGGCCCGACCCTTCCCTCCCCTGGGCCCAGCCAGGGATCTGGGCCAGGAGTGAGAGAGCAGCATCCTCCGATGCCTAAAAGGCGCACACTGGCGCACACGAGCCCACTGGGCCTCCCAGGGCAAGTGGCTCCCGTCAAGGGTGGCCCAAAACTGGCGGGGGCAGGGTGGAGGGCTCAGGCCAGCGGCTGGGCTTCTGGGGTGTGTGGAGGAGTCCCCTGCAAATACTACAACTTCACAGCCAAGGGTCTTCAATCGCAGAGACCCCCCACTGAGAAAGGGGAAGTGAAAAGGCCTGGAGAAAGGGGGGGGGGGCAAGGAGGGAGCTGCAGGACACCAGCTTGGTGAGGCCCCTCCCTGGGAGCGTCAGTACCCAAGGTTTTCTCCTGCACTGGGCTTCAGCGACACACCCCACCCCCTGCAACGTGGCCCTGGGTCCCCAGCTCCCAGCCCCAGGTGGGGCTTCTGTCACTAGCCCAAGGTCTGCAAGATTATCCCCAAACTCTCCACCCCCTCAGGCTCCCAGAGCTGGGCTGCCTGGAGGTTGAGGACAGGGCCTCCCCCACAGCTCTGCACCCAGGGCACTGCCCTCCCTGGGCAGAAGGCACAGAGAAATGACGGTCCCTGGATGCGATTCTGGAGGGTGGGCCAGCGTCCCCGGGGTGCTGCAGTGGGAACCCCGCATCTCAGGGACAGGCAGTGCCTGTAGGGGGCTGAGCAGACCCTCCGCTGAGACCTGGTGATGTCACAGTTATGAGGCCCATGTGGCAGAGGAAAACCTAGGTATCAAGGACACAAGTGACATCTGGGACGGGGCGAGCCCCACAGGCAGGACCTTCCTCATTCCTGGCCTGAAACGCGTGAGCAGCTCTAGCCTTCCCCGGCTGGAGGGACAGTGCCCACCTTCCTTTAGGGCAGAGCCCACGAGCAATCTCTGAACTCCCCCTAAAGTGCGCACCTCGCTGCCCCAGGTCATCTAAGGAAAGGAGTCCCTCCCTCCTGCGCGCTCCCGCCTCAGGTGAAGCCCCTCTTTATTAGACTCTGGGCCAAGGCCCCACCCCACAGTTATTAGTAGGGAATCTCGGGGTCTTTGACACCTTGCTGATGGCAGGTCCCCTCAGTCACTGTCCCCACACACCTGTAGGGGAGGCCAGAGTCAGGCCTGGCGGTTCCCAGGTGGCTGCTGGGCTGAATCCTGCCCCCCCCCCAGGGACCTGTGAGACCCCTGGGGCTAAGCCCCCCTTCCTGTCAGGGTGGCGGCTGTGGAGGCCAGGTGGAGACGGGGATCACCCCTCGCTCACATTAGGGGAGGTGTTTTGCTGTGGGGCCAGTGGACCCCGGGCAGTTAAAGGCAGGGAGGGGACGCTGCGGTGAGAACCGGGTTGCAGGGCTGGGGGCGGGAGGCAACTGGGGCTGAGCCTCGGGGAGTTCAGGCTCTTAATTCCCCGGGGGAGGCGCCCCCAGTGACTGAAGGCTGGGGGTGTAAGGCACGGCGGGAGCTCCGTGGGCTGTTAACTCAGTTCTCGGTAAGGCTTTGAGGAAGGCGCTATCACTATTCCATTTTACAGGTGGGGAAACTGAGGCACAGAAAGAGTGACTTGCTCCGTGGCATAGCTCCGGGCTGCGAGGTTGTACCTCGGGTCTGGACATCGCCCCACCCTCACCCAGGTTCCCCTGCACCCCAGGGTCCTCAGACTCCGGCTCAGCCGCCCCCACGGCCCAGCCACCCTGGGCGATGCTCCTCCTGCTGCTCGCCCTTGGCGCCTGGACTCGTGTCCCCAGGGCCCGGGTCTGGGCAGCGGGCTGAGGAAGGGCGGCCCGTGAGCAGGGGAGCGGAGGCCCCCTAGGGTGGCGGCGGCGCCGTGAGGAACTGTCCTTGGTGCGGGGACAGAGGCCGCGTCCCTGCGGGTGGCAGCGCAAACCCCGCGCGGTCGTTGGGAAGGAGCCTGGAGCCTGGCGCCCGCAGGGTGCAGACCGATACCCGCCGGGTCGGCTCGGGCGCGCTCCTCCAGGGCCCCCGGGGCTTCAGNGCCGAGTCCGCGGGGCCAGGCCTCCAGCACCGTGTGCGCCCGGCCCCATGGCAGGGCCGCCTTGCGCCGCGCGATGCTGGCCTGGGAAGCTTTCAGTCCACGGCCGCTGCGGGGCCTCTGAGTCCACTAGTTGTGGGAGAGGGTGGGGGTCCCCAAGAGGGAGGCACGCAAAACCCACTAGAAGCGCCTCAGTTCGCGTGGGGGTCCAAACAACGTCCGGAGGGAGCCCTGGGTTCACCGATCCCCAGCGAGGACCT